GGTTTTTTTTGGGTCCAGGGGATGTTTGGAGTCGGAGGTTGTGATTCTGGAGGTTTTGGGTCCAGGAATTGGTTTTTTGGGTCCCGGGGATGTTTGTAGTCAGATGTTTGGATCCCGGAGGTTTTGGGATCCAGAGGTTGGGTGGTGGGATCCTGGAGGTTTTGGGATCCAGGCGTTGCTTGGTGGGATGCTGCAGGTTTTTGGGTCCAGGAGGTGTTTTTTAGGATCCAGGGGTTGTTTGGAGTCAGATGTTTGGATCCTGAGGTTTTGGGTCCAGGGGTTGTTGTCAGATGTTGAGATTTGGGATCCAGAGGTTGATTGGTGGGATCCTGGAGGTTTTTGGGGTCCAGGAACTGTTTTTTAGGGTCCAGGTTTATGTTTGGAGCCAGATGTTGGGATTCTGGAGGTTTTGGAACCCAGACGTTGCTTGGTGGGATCCTGGAGGATTTTTGGCTCCAGGAATTGGTTTTTAGGGTCGAGGGGATGTTTGGAGTCAGATGTTTGGATCCTGAGGTTTTGGGATTCAGAGGTTGCTTGGTGGGATCCTGGAGATTTTTGGGTCCAAGAGCTGTTTTTTTTGGGTCAAGGGGATGTTTGGAGTCAGACGTTGGGATGCTGGAGGTTTTTGGGTTGAGGAACTGGTTTTTAGGATCCAGGTTATGTTTGGAGTCAGATGTTGGGATACTGGAGGTTTTGGGATACAGACGTTGCTTGGTGGGATCCTGGATATTTTTGGGTCCAGGAACTGGTTTTTTGGGTCCAGGGTTTATTGGGAGTGGGAGGTTGAGATCCTGGAGATTTTGGGATCCAGCGGGTGGGTGGTGGGATGCAGGACCTTTTTTGGGTGCAGGAATTGCTTGTTTGGGTCTAGGAGCTGTTCAAATCCAGGGATTGCTCAGTGGAATCCTGGAGTTTGTTTGGGTCCAGGTGTCGCTTGGTGAGACCAGGAAATTTTTGGGTGCAGAAATTGCCTGTTTGGGTGCAGGGCTTCCTGGGTGGGATGCAGGGAATCTTTGGGTGCAGGAGATTTTTGGGTGCAGGGCTTTGCAGCTGTTGTTTGGATCCAGGGTTTGGTTATTTGGCTCCAAGGGCTGCTTGGATCCGATGGCTGCTGGGTTTTTGTTGGTTGTTTTTTTTTTTCTTTTAATTCTTCACCACTATTATTTATTTTTTTTCATCCTCCTGCACTCCCCTGTCTGAACTGGGTGGATTCCTGCCCACATCAATAGGGGAGGCAGAGGAGAAAGTATGCAAATCCTGCAAATCCTGCTTTTTAGTTGCTGCTCTCTGGTGCACACACACACACACATCCCATACCTGTATTCCACCTCCAGCACCCTCCCTTCCTCTCCATCCCCAAAAATCCCCAGCAGGGCTGGGCACCATCCAGAGCTGGGTTTGATTTTTAAGTGCTGAATTCATGTTTTGGCTGGATTTTTTTTTTTTGGAGGAGCAGCTCCTGAGCGAGGCAGGGGTTTGCTTTGGAGGCTCTGGCTGTTTTTGGGATTTCTCACCTGGCCCATCCCTCTGCCTGACACGGGGATTTCGCCCGGGCTGTTTATTTTTAGGGTCTCTGGGCCTGTTTGCAGGGAAGAGTTGTTCCATCACCATGGCAACGGGGCTGAGTGTACCATAAACATTGTTCCAGGGGAGCTTTTCCAGCTGAAATCTGATTTCCTTTTCACCATCCAGAAGGAATTTTAACCTGGGATTTTTTTAATGGGAGAAGGGGTTATTTTCTGCTCTGAATTGGGGCTGATTTTCCTTCCAGCAGAGGGATTGTGCATGTGCAAGCCAATTTAATCTGCTGTTGGTAAACACTCGGCCCAGATGAGGAGGAAGTGAGTGTAATCTCCTTAGGAGCTTCCAGGAAATCAGAGTTTTTATGGAACAATCCCAGCAGGGTCACAAACCCATCAAAGGAGTTTTGCTTTTGAAGTTTCCCATCCCCTCTGTGTGTCTTAAACCTTTCCCTCTCATATCCTAAACAACAACAAAAAAAAAGAGATTTAGGAAAGGAATAATGGAAAATCATGGAAATTAGGTCTGTCCATAATCAGGGGTGGGATGTCAGGCAGGGATGGAGGAGCAGAGGGGTTGTAGCAGCTGCAGGAATTACACAGAGAGGGCTCTAAAATCCCCTTTTTCCCCCTGTTTTCCCTCAGGTTGAACATTAAAAGTCAGGTGTGGTCGTCAAAACCGTATTTGATAACAAAAGGGGGCCCCTTTGTGTCAGGATTAAAATATTAAAATATCCCCAGAAAGCTGCTGGGCTCATCTGCTGCCAACCTGAGCCTGCAGCCCTGAGTCCCATGGAAATCCTGATGTCATTGTTGTCCTTCATGGTTTGTTCCTGGTCTTGGCTAATTCAGAAAAGCAGGGAAGGCCAGAAAACACTGTGGAAAAACTGGAAAATAAAAAGAAAATGAAATATTTCTTTCTCGGGACTTAGAAGCTGAAACAGTTGTTTCCTAACTCCCCAAATATTTGATAAAACACCTTAATTTTGTCTCAAGGGGCTCAATTTTTGAGCCAGGGAGGCAAAATTTATTGCAACATTTGTTTTGAGCTTAGAAAAAAGAAAAAAAAAAAA